AATAGTAAGATTGAGATTTTCACTCGGCCTTGGAACTCCAATTATTTTGTGAATACATGTTGTCAAGGCCACTTTTGAATGTTGTCAGGTCGCTGTCAGGCATTGAAGGGTAAAAAGTAAACAAAGTTCAATTAACAGAATTTGTGATTGACAAGTATTGTGGGATATGAGAGGACTATGAAAATAAACAATCCAAATTATTATTTAGAAGCAAAATGTAAAAACTTTGATTCAAGAATATTGAAATCAAAGATGTCATTTTGCAAGTAGTTTTAACTAAGCAAGCACTCTGATAGCAATGCCTTTTACACTGACCAACAGCACCTTGACAACATTCAAATATGGCCTTGACAACGTAGTACCACCGCCTTGATAACATACATTGTGTGGTGATAAAGTTTTTGTAAATGTTCAAACATTTAAACAAAACATTTGGCATTCCAAGGTTGAATGAAATCACATTAATTATTTTGCTTTATAAAGTGAGATTATGATAGTGAAAGTCACATTGTATCAGTTTACCAGTACACAGACCAATCAAAAGCAATTTTTCATACCAGAAAAAACATGGAGGTCAGATTTTCCCTTTCATGTTGAAGTATTCAGAATTCTTCATGTGTACTTTGGGTTTTCACCCATACCAAAAACATAGTAATTGAATGTAGTTGTAGAACATATGTATTATGGGCCCATGGCTAGCTTGGCTTAAAGTGGGAAACCCATACCTACAAGTATTAGTATTGAATTCATTGTAGTAAATGCAGTACTATTTTCTTTTGAAGTTTTGAAGAGGCTGAAGGAGATGTGACATTAACTGCTTTGGAGGGTGAAGATGAACAAGCAGAGCTTGATCATACTAAGGGACAGGAAGATATGGATGTGAGCTATTTTGAAGAATGGGATAGAACTAACATAGAGGTACAGCATGGTCCAGAGAGAAGGGATGATTGGGCACAGAGATTATTAAAACAGCTGAAAGAAGAATTTGATAAAATGAATGTTGCAGGAAAACAGAGCCAGATTTTTGCAGACCATGGTCAACAGAGTCGATCAGTTGTTGAGGTAGATAAATTGTTGGAATTATTTAAAAACAATTGCCAAATGCATCTATGTACTGGACAAAGTAGAGTTGAAAATTGGAAAGCTGATGGGGGTGTTTTAATAATCACACGGAGATGCTGTCATGGTCATGGTTGGGGTCTGGTCGTCATCAAAGGTTTTATGCGTAAAGAAGGAACAGAATGTGCACACCACTACCATAATGATAGCTGCAGCAATTATTATAACAGGTGGCAATTATGAAAAGTTTGCACTATTTTGCAAATTTCTTGGTCTGTCATTCATCTCAAGGTCAACTTTTATGAGAATCCAAAAGAAGTATGTGATTCCTGAGATCAAGAGATTTTGGAAAGACATGAAGGCATCGATATGGAAAATCTTTTTTGGGGAAAGCATCATTCTTTGCGGTGATGGCCGAAATGATTCACCAGGTTTCAGTGCTAAGTGTTGGCTTAAGTATTTAAGTATTTCAGTGCTAAGTACTGGCTCTTATAAATGGGTTAATTAATTAAATATATTTTATGGATTTTTTAGATAAGTATCCTAATGAATTTGGTAACCTGTTTCATGCACTTGAAATTTGGCACAATCTGTAAAGTTAACAAAGAAGCTGTCAAAGGTGATATTTAACTTCACTCCCTTATACAATATACTGTACGATATTGTGTCATTTAGGAATATACAGTAATCATTAAATTAAATAAAACATAATCCCTTTAAGTGGTGAAAATGGGGGAGAGGATTATTTTAGACAAAAAAAAGTTTAACTAAAATTTCTAGCTACAAACATTGGTCAAATGCGGACACCCTAAAATCCTCTCGAGTGTCTGCCAAAGTACATCATCTTTGCTATAGAGTCATATTTTCCTAATTGAGATGTTCGGTTTGAATATTTTTGGTTTTAGGCTGCAAAAATTAAGGGTTGTGAGGTACTAAGCGAGTGGACCAAGCCAATACGAAACCACTTCTGGTATGTTGCACAAGAAAGTAAGGGCAACACAGATAAATTAAAGGTGAGGAAAGTACTAACTTTCACGTTAGAATGTTACCCTTATATATTATAGTTAATAATCAGGGTTTGAATTAACGGTGTGCAATTTGCACATCGTTCTGGAAGCGGGAGTTGACTCATTATTTAATAGAAGACAAATCCTAACTACTAAACTATTTAATGATATTGCAAATGACGAAAGTCATAAGCTTTACCAATTACTACCAAGTAAGAACTGTTCAAATTATAATATAAGGAAAGAGAACATTTTTAACGTTTCTATTAGTAGGACGAATAGATTTAAAAATACTTTTATACAGCATAATTCTACAATGTATTTTAGATAAAGTAAATATTTATATAAGGAAAGAGAACATTTTCAACGTTTCTATTAGTAGGACGAACAGATTTAAAATAGTTTTATACAACATAATTCTACAATGTATGTTAGATAAAGTAAATATTTATTGTAAAGTTAGAAGCGTAATTCAACCCGTGGGTTGTAATGTTTTTAATTAATTAATTAAACTATCTATCTACTGCCATTCTCTCCTATCGTACCATCTCATTTAGGCTTCCCTTTTGAACTAGATTGGTTTATGTAATCAGACAAACCATCACTCGTATCTTCTTCATTTTCTAATTCAGGGAATTCATCTAAATTAAATTTTGGTTTCGAAGCTCTTATCGCTTCATTAAAAGATTTTGCTCTACAGTTCCTCCTTCCTAACTTGGCACTTGATGATAGATATTGTACGTTCATCGACTGGAATGCTAGATCCAATTCACCTGTAGAAATTAATTATCATCTCGAAATATATATTTATAGTTCGATATTACTACCTCGGCCATAGCCATACGCCGTGACAATTGGAGGGGTATATTCATATACCGGAAAAACAATATTCAAAGGAAATCCATTGGGCAGAACACAAATATATGCACCCCCACCCTATTAGCGATCTAGCTACAGCCCTGATTACTATGCATGCATGTAAAAACAACGTCAAGGTATTCGATTATTCAGTATTATGTATGTACTCACATTATTAGTCCATATAACGTTTTTTCTCACTTTGTAGATCACATTCTATATCGCTAGCTTGGCTCAAAATATAATAAAATATTATTATATCGCTAGTTGAACATGCTCAAAATTGTAACTGATCGTTACTATCTGCATGGAAGGAAACATGTAAAACCAACTATTGAACAGTTATTGAATTTTAAAATATTGTCCAGCTGTACGCAGAAGTTATGAACTAATTATTACTGGACACATAATTCAGTTTACTTTGTCAGACGCAACACTACAAACTATACCAACAACCTATCATCCATGAAGTGTCATTTCAATGGTATGCCATTGCAATCGGTATTGTATGAAACTCCTAGCTCTTCATTTACCCACTAATTTTCGCAAACTTTACCCACAGTCTACACCGTCAAGGAAGTTTGCACACGCTGGTTCCCAATTCCTACGATCGAGGGACTGTATCTATCAGTTATATATTTTCTTTATTATAATTGCGTTACAACATTTCAACAATTCTCTAAATACATCAATTCAATCTCGATTCAATCTCAAACTTCTCACTTCGAACTCCGAACTCACGCACTCTTACATTTTACAACTCTATTTATAATATTAGCTAAGGTCTCTGAGCCAAAGCATTGACGCGCGCATTCCTGAGGTTTCCGCGCTTGGCAGCCAAAAAGCGGGGTTTGCTGCGTTGGCTTCTTACGATAACCTAATCTTTGTCCATCCGTTCATATAAGTTTTGGCAAAAACAACTACATATTTTGCCCACAAACATCCTCATACTTTACAATCTAAATTATATTTCCTACATACAATTAACGCAACTTTTACAACACTCTCCCCCCTTTGATTCGCTACGAAT